AGTACTTTCTTATAAAAATTTACGAAAATCACCGAATTTTCAGTTAGTTACACTGTTATAGCCCCTTAAAAATATCTGCCACAGGTAATTGGGTTATTGTATGTAAATGTAACCACTTTCTTTGCAAAAATGTTTGTGAAAAATGTATGCAGAAGCTAAACTCTCAAAACCACTTGCCCCCTCAACAAAACTAAGCAAGAAGATAAAACAATTTATTTTTCATCTTCCACTTTCGCTTTTTGCTCTTTGTTTTTTCCTTTCGCCAAACGAATATTATTTAACAACTAAACACTTTCACTGGGATGCATAATTACCGGCTGCCGATCACTTGACACGAACGTTATACGAAAGTTTGTAACTGATATTTATGTAGGCAGGTATGCATTTGTGGATGTGTGAGAGTCGGTGAGCGACTGATCAGCTGCCGTGAATGTGGCTGAAACGTAAAAGCACACTAGAATACATATGGACTTGCACTAGCCACTTTTCTAACCCAAAGTAATGCAGGAGAAGAGCAGTTATTTTCTTTGAAAGAAATATAAAACACGTGTTCGCCACTTTTAACTCAAAGTGTGTAAACAAAGCAATAAAGGTGATTGTAATTTGAGTCAATTTGAGTAGTAAATTGCATTTATGATATATAGAATTGTAAATGGGAAATATAACACGATTTCCTTTTAATTATTTGAATGAAGGATGTAGTTGCTATAGTTGTCCGAACTGTCCGATTCTGGTGATCAATATAACGTTAAAATAAGTATTAAATTCATTCGGATAAACAAGTRAGGAAGTGCTAAGTTCGGGTGCAACCGAATATTTTAAAATCATACAACTTGCAAAAGTTATAGCCAGGGAGGTACCTTCAGGTACATAAGGGCGAGCGTTCACCCAATTTTATTTATTCTAAGCACCGACTTCTGAGCACCATTATAAGAAAAACAAGCTCTTTCACTTATATTAAAATAACCGAGCAATATATGCGGTCTAAAGTCACCCGGAAGTTCCAAAATCTTTATATTAGGTATACATATGTATGGGGGCTAAGGGATGTATTGACCCGATTCAACCCATAGTACTGTAAGGAAAGAATTCTCTCTGAATTTCAGTTATATATTTCAAACTTGACCCATATTTTGGTTAAAATGTCAACTATTGGTAGTGGAGTCCAAATATTTGGCACACATGTGCTTCGACAGTTTTGGTTCGATTTGGGAAATTCTTTGTCATACGGTACCACACCTCAAATACGCTATTCGTGCAAAGTTTCATTCTAATTTTTATACTGGAAAATAGAATTAAAAATTGTGTTACATATATGTGAAGTTAGCGTGGCTGTTGTCCGATTTCGCCTATTTTCACACTGTAACTTTTGTTGAAATCGGCCGAGCGGGTCTCRAGATATGTGATTTATCGAAGCCCAATACAAGAATATTTATACAAACATGATCAGCATGAAGAGATGAAACCATTTAGCCGTGTTTGGCTATCGCTAGTTTTGCGCTATCGATCTGCAATTTTACACATGTTCTTTTCTCACCAAGAAGCTGTCATTTTTTGGAACCGTCGATATTGCTCCATTATACCATAGTATATACATATTTGTCATACAAGCTGATCAAACTCAAGTCCCTGTAAGGAATTTTTTAATTTGAAAAGGTAACTTCACGAAATTCGATTCATATGTTTATTTAAGGTATCGTTGCATTCTCCAAAGTCATTTTTCATATCGGACAGTTTTAGCATATACGAGCGGAGTAAGAGTAAATAAATATACATACAGCTATGTACAGAAAAATAGCACACTTTGTCATGCAAATATTTCATATATAATTTTACTTATTTCTAATGTATGTCATTAAGTCAAAGCATTGGTTTCGAATGTGTGTTCGTATTGACCGCCATAATGTGTATCTGTAAACCATATATGCATTAGTATATTAWTGTTACTGATTTTTTGTGACAAATTGCAGTTGTTTAGAAAAATAGCACACTTGGCTATTATTGATMATTTCTCATTGGAAATCGAATGTTGTGCAAGAAAGTTATTGATTTAAGTGTGGAATTTAAATTTGCATAAACAATAAATGTTAATGCTATTAAATTTGTCAATTCTGATCCAGTGACAAAAATAAATAATTAAATCCGAAAGACGTCTCTACGTTAACCACTTTTAATTTTGAACGAACAACTGCTAGAAAGTTCTAAGTTGATCCATTTAAGCCCTCCGCGCTTTTTTGAACGAAATTTAGGAAACATTTGGCTGAAACATATCCTGGTGGCTTGTCAGACGAAGCCTCAATGACTGTCTCCTCTACGGCGCCCATTAGCCGAAAAACCCGCTTCTATCAAAAAATAAAAAATAAAAGGACGTATTACTTTCGCTTAGCCTCATGGAAAAAGTAATGTACAATTTTGAAACAAAAGTGAATCGCATTGAACCCGTTGATAAAACGTTTGTTCAACAAAAGAAAGGCCAATCATTAAACCCAAGAAACAGCAAAAACAAAAAAAAAACAAAAAAAAAAAAAAAAACTATGAAAGTGAAGGTAATGTCATGGTGTGGGCTGAGTTTTCGTGGTATGGAATGGGACTGTTAGTCAGAATTGGTGGTAGAATAGATTAGTATTCCTATTTAAACATCCTCACACACTATGGAGGTATTCTTATTTAAATCATTACCTTGAAATTATATATTTATGCAATAAATGCTAAATAATCATCCGAAACATGCAGCTAGGACAGTAAAGGATTGTTTATCTACCGAAAATATTAAAGTATCGAAATGTTCAGTGCAAAGTCCCGATTTCAACTCGATAAAAAACCGGTGTGGCGACATAAAAGCAGGCAAAAAAAATTAAAAAATTTAAATGATCTTTGAATTTTTAATTTCATTTTGACATAAAACTGCAATTTCTCTGTGCACAGCTGTATATGTTGTGGTTGCTTGCGCAGCTATTCGGAATTTTTTTATATAGTATACTACGTAGGCATACATATGTATGCATTTGAATGTTCGTGTTTACTAATGTCGCTTAGCCGGCATTGCCTTGATTCAGTCAGTCGGCGAAGAAAGCTGAAGCGATTCGGTTATATCATGTTAATTGTTTCTTCACAAATCCACTGACCTCTAATTTTTTATAAACGCATGTGTGCGGTGTGAAGGCAAGAGTGTATATCTAAATATAAATATTCGGTTGTGTTATTTGCGTTATAGAACGTGAGGTGAGTGAAAAATTAGTTACGCGTGAAATTAAAATAATTTTGACACGTGTTGTGACAATCGGGGTGCAAGTGGAAAATGATTTAAACACCCACAAAAGCCGGTATGCGAAGAAGTTGCGGTTGGTTTAAGGAAATAATTTGATCTTTAAAAGTACAAATGTATGCACATTGTATATGCGTACTTTCTACTGTGCTCTTGACTTTGAGAATTTKCCAATCGCTTGTTATCAAATAAATTACATTACATCATTAGTGCTTACAGGCGTGGGTGTTTTATATAATCGAAATGAAAAACTATCAATAAAATAAAGCAGTTAATCTATTATATTAATA